TATATATATATATATTGGGAAGCAGAGTTTTAGGAGAGTATTAATATGAGTTGTTTTAGGTCTTTTGCCTTATCAGGATAGACCTGGGCCCAGAACCTCCCTAGGGAGTCTTTCGCATAGTAAGTGCTTTATCCCCTACCCTGCCCTCATTTTGCTTTTGCAAGTATGTGTGTGTGTGTGTGTGTGTGTATAAGGGTATTTCTTGAATCAATGACCATAATTATGTTCTTGTTTACAAAAGCCACTTGGCTGCCTTTTCCCTCAGAGTTTATTTTGTATTATTTTGATTTTTTTACCCATTAACAGTTATAAACTTGTGGTAGGTCATAGGCCAGTTTAATCTATGAATGTGCCATCTGGCTATAATTTTAGCAGGCTTGCCCAGATCATATGCTATATGTGGTGAAAATAATACTATCTGATGTTTATTAAATACAGTTTAAAATGTTATTTATACCCCTGTTTTTATTCAAGGCAATTTGACCATTTACCCCTATTAGTAGGGTATTAGCATCTTAACTTTCCTCTTATTTGGAAGAAAGGTATGAGAAAAATTTCCTTTTGTACAGGTGAGGAGATTAGTTTTTATATTAGGTAATGTCTGGTGATAACTTAAAAAAATTTTAATTTCCTTTTTTTGTGAGATCTATCAGACATGGGTTAGAATGCATAAAACATGTATGTAGTGCTTAAAGAATGATTTTAAACAAACACGAGGGACAAGAAATAGAAAGTGCCTCTACCCCTAAGCACACCTGTCTGTCCTCTGTCCCAACTTTCCTGCTCACCTTTAGAGGTAACCACTCTCCAGGTTTTTGTGATAATTATTTCTTTATTTTTATGTACAGTTTTACCAGCATTGTATGTATCTCTAAATAATTTAGATTTGATTATTTTTGAATTTGACATATGTCTTTTTATATGTATTATTTTGAGATTTGCTTTCTTTCCTCAATATTATTTGTGAGAGTTATCCATGTTGTTGCATATATCTCTGGTTTGTTTCATTTTCATTGATATTTAGCATTCTATATTATGAATATACCATGATTCATCAATCTGTGCTGCTGTTAACAATCTTGTATATGTCTTCTGGTGCACACAAGCAAACATTTGTCTAATGTATTTTCCTAATAACAATTGTTATAGGATATGCATATCTCCTAGATAATGCCAAACTTTTCCAAGTGGCTGGTGTAATTTTTTTCTCATTGTAGTTTTAACTTTCCTTTCCTTGATTATTGATGAGGTTAGGTATATTTTCATGTGTTTATGGCTATTTGGATTTCCTCTTTTCCCAAAAAAAGGGAAATGTTTAGATCTTTTGCCCATTTTTTCTTTATATTGGGCTTTCTTATTGCTTTGTAAGTTTTTTGTTTATTTTGTTTTTAATATTGTTTGGATATTGGTCCTTGGTCAGTTATATGTGTTGCAAATATCTTCTCCCACTTTGTGGCATGTCTTTTCACTTTATAGTGTATTTTGACACATGCATTTTTCATTTTAATGTGCTCAAATTTTTGTTTCTTCTTTTAGCTTTTTGTGTTTTGTTTAGGAAAACTTTCCCTAACCAGAAGTTGAATACAATTTCAGTCTTTAAACTAGTTGGAACTGGTTTTTGAGTGTGAGGTAAAAAGTAAGGTTCCAATTTTAGTTGTATCCATATAGATATCTGATTGTTATAGCATCATATTTCGAGAAGACTGTCTCTTTTCTATTGATCTAAAAAGCCACCTCCATCATATATCAAAAGTCTGTATACTTGGGTTTATTTGGGGCTCTCTGTTCTGTTCCATTCGCCTGTTTGTTGATTCCTGTGCTTAGTACCACACCATCTGCACTCTGGCTTTATGTTGAGTTTTGATATGTGTAAGGTAAGTCCTTCTCCCTTTTCTTCAAGAGTGTCTTGCTTGATAGTTCTTCAGGAGGTTATCTTGGTATTTTGTATTTCTCTATTAGATTTCGAGCTAGCTTGTCAAATTCCACAAGAAAACATGTCGAGATGTAATTGAGATTGCATTTAACCTCTATGTCAATTGAGGGGAAAATGACATTTTCAGAACATTGAGTCTTACAGTCCATGAGCACGGTATATTTCTTCACTATAGATTTTCCTTTGGTATCTCTCAATAAATATTTTATAATTTTCTCTATAGAAGGACCAAAATTATTTTTAGAAAAGTGGGAGTGGGGAGGCCAAAAAGAGAAGGATACTAGGTAGTGAGAAGGGCACACTTTACCAGTGTGGTCAGAAATTCAAAGTCAGCGTATACAATTTATACTGATATATTCATTAATACGGAACCTTATAAGATGAGGAATGTCTAAGGGTCTAATATATAACATGGTGGCTGTAGTTGAGGACACTGTATTGTATAAATGAAATTTTCTAAGAGAGCAGAACTTAAGTGTTCTCACTGTGCCCCCCAATAAAGGTAAATATGTGAGGTGATGGATGTGTAATTAACTTGAGAAATTCTTTCACAGTGCATATATATATCAAATCATTTGTAGTATATCTCCATCACAAAATTTCCCATCTGTTCACTCTTCCCTTTGACTGTGTCTGAGGAAGGAGTGTCTCTGTGAAGAAAAAGGTCCAGTGCTAATCCATAAGTACTCTCATTCCAGGACAGTTAGGGTGGCAGTGACTACAGATTCTCTCCTGCGTGGTGTATTCCTTTACATTCCTCACAGTCAGCCAGTGGGAGAGGCTCCAGAAAAATGATGCCCAGTTTTCTATTAGAAAGGCAAAACATAAAAATAATTCATTGTTAACATCATTTATGAAATGAGGCTTTTGTTGCTATGACAGATGAGGCCACTCTTTTATCTGAGCTTCTCTGACCTTCTGCTGGGGATATGCTGGCTCATTGAAGCACTTCTGTATGGAACTTCAGCAGCCAATAAAGACATTGTCTGCTATAACCTGCAAGCAGTTGGACAGGTGAGTACTACTAGGTTGTGACTGTACATTGCAAGAAAGGCATACTCACATAAATAGGATGCAAAAATAATACACCCTGGGAAGTGGGACCATTTTGTTAATTGTTATATTGTGACACAATGGCTTTTTTTGTTTATTCATATTTAAAAAATTGCTTTGTTTATTACAGAAAATTTGGAAAATTCAGAGAAGCAAAACGATAGCTAAAATCACCCAGAGAGCCCAGACTGAGTGGCTCAGTTGGTTGAGTGTTGTCCTGTGCACTGAGAGGTTGCTGGTTCGATTCCCACTCAGGGCACATCCCTGGGTTGTGGGTTTGATCCCCAGTTGGGGAGCCTATGGAAGGCAACAAATTGATGTTTCTCTCTCTCTCCCTCCCCACTCCCTCCCCACTCCCTCTCCCTCTCCCTCTCCCTCATTCTNNNNATGCCCAGTAGGGGGTGTGCAGGAGGTAGCCGATCAATGACTCTCTCATCATTGATGTTTCTCTCTCTCTCTCTCTCCCTCCCTCCCTCCTCTCCCTTCCTCAATCTACCTGCTTTTGTTTACTTTTCAGATTCCTCAAGAAGTTTTTTATATGTTTCCCAGAATTTTTGTTTGTAATTAGTGGGAGAAATGGGCTATAGAGGGATTAACCACACTAGGTTATTTAGTTAGTTTTATTTTTTAATCACGGTAAAATACACATAATGTAAAATTTACCATCTTTTTTTAAAAATTAATTTTATATAGAGAGAGAAACGTCGATTTGTTGTTCCACTTATTTATGCATTCATTGGTTGATTCTTGTTTGTGACTTGACTGGGGATCTAACCGGCAACCTTGGCATATTGGGACTATACTCTAACCAACTGAGCTACCCAGTCACAGCCAAAATTTACCATCTTAACCATTTTTAAGTGAACAGTCCAATGGCATTAAGTACATTCACATTGTTGTGAATGTGAACTCTCACCACTATATAGCTCTAGAAATTTTCATCATGCCAAACTGAAACTTTGTATCCATTAAATAATAACACTCCATTTCTCTTACACCTCCAGCCCCTGGTAACCACCATTCTACACTGTGTCTTTATGAATTTGACTATTCTCGGTACCTCATATCAGTGGAACCATATATTAGAACACACAGACACAGAGAAAACCCCTGAGACTGAAAATTTCTGTAAGTGGAGGACAGGGAAAGATTGATGAAAGAGGCTGGGCACTCCAGTCTGGACATTAACAGAGTTATTAAGAGAAACTTACATATGAGACACACCTTGGGTGCCTCCAAGACAGAACAGATATCCTCTACTCTTCTTGGCAGGTGCCAAAGAACTTTATTGGGTAAAGGAGGAAATTGTCACAGGTACTAGTACTAGAATGCTACCAGGTACAGGAAATTATATGCTTGATGAGATCAAGACAATGGCCTGTTCCAGGAATCAGCATATAGTGGGAGGCAGGAGAGGGGTGCTAATTTATGTCAGAATGAACATTGATTATGGTTAGTCTCTAAGGGGAGGTGTGGTGTGGTAAACAATTTCCCTTGTGGCCTGGGTCCACCTTGTGTGTCTGGCAGTGATTACATCATGGAACAGTCTCTCCACATCATACAATAGCTGTCTTTTTGTATCTAGCTTATTTCACTTAGCTTAATGTCTTCAAGGTTCATCCATATTGTAGCATGTGTCAGAATTTCATTCCTGAGAGTATGTTAAGCCTTTGCCTGATCTGCTCCGGGACCCAGGAAAAGCAGACTTTGGAATGCATCTTGGTCCTGTCCAAATGCACCCAGCCCCAGCAGAGGAGATCTCAAGCTTAGGATTGTTGATAGCTCCAAACAGGTTACTCAGGGCCAGTCACAAACTGCGTCTGACATTGGCCTGTACCAGAGACCCTCCAAAAAGACTGAGAGTCCTAACAGATCTACCTAATACTTAGAAACACACCCAAAAAGGTAGCCAAAATGGGGAGACCAAAAAACAAGCCTCAAATGAAAGAACAAGAGAAGTCTCCAGAAAAAGAGCTAAATGAAATGGGGATAAGAATTTCATTCCTTTATAAAGCTAAATAATATACCATTGCACATATATACCACATTATATTTGTCCATTCATCCATTGATGGACACTTGGGTTACTTTCATTTTTTGGCTATTGTTAATAATGCTGCTATGAACGTGGGTGTACATACACCTGTTTGAGTCCCTACTTTCAGTTCTTTTGTGTATATATCTAGGAGTGGACTGTTGGATCAAATGATAATTTCTACTTAATTTTATTGACATCTAGAATCATTTATGCAAAAAAACTTAAATATGATTATGTATACACAAGTGCACATATTACCTATGCTGAACAATGCTAAGAAACAATATATTGATGCAACAATTGTCTTCTAAAATAAACATAAAAGCTTATACCAGAATGCCAGACAAAAGTAAAACACTTATTTCTCAATAGAACAATGCTGAAAATTGATAGCAATCCCAAACACCCTCAACTTTCCTTACAAAGCTGCCCAAGTCCAACTGTTTTAAAAAACTGACTTTTTACATCAATAAAAATCTGGTGACAATCATTATAAAACCAAATGCTGGACAGTCTTTACTCCTTTAAAACCCCAAATATTCCAACATAATCACAGGAGTAAAAATCATTTTAAAATGATATGCTTTATGAAACAATAGTATGTACATTTATTGCAAATTAGGAGCCACCATATAGTTTTCTATAGCAGCTGCATCATTTTACAATGCCACTGCATAAGGGTTCTAATTTCTCTACATCTGTACCAATACTTATTGTTTTCTGGGGTTTTTTTATAATAGCCATCCTAATGGATATAAAGTGATATCTCATTGTGGTTTTGATTTGCATTTCCATCATTAGTGATGTTGAATATATTTTCTTGTGCTTATCGGCCATTTATATGTCATCTTTGGAGAAATGTGTCTATTCAAAAATTTTTCCCATTTTAAAATTGGGTTTTTGTTCTTTTGTTGTTTATTTATAGGAGTTCTTTATATATTCTGAATACTAACTCATTATCAGGTATATGATATGCAAATACTTTCTCCTGTTCTCTCATAGGTTGCCTTTTCACTCTGTTGATTGTGTCCTTTGATGCACAGAAATGCTTAATTTTGATGTAGTCCAATTTATATATTATTTCTTTTGATGTTGTATTTAAGAAATCATTGCCAAGTCCAGTGTCATGCAGCTTTCCCCCCTATGTTTTCTTCTAGGAATGTTATAGTTTTATCTCTTAGGTTTAGGTTTTTGACCCACTTTGAGTTAATTTTTGTATGGTGTAAGGTAAGGGTCCAACTTCATTCATGTACATGTGTATATTGAGTTTTCCCAGTACCACTAGTTTTACCTTTTCTAGAATATTATCTAGTTAGAATCATACAGTCTTAGCCTTTCCAGATTTTTTTTATTACTTAGTAATATGTATTTAAGATCCCTTCATGTCTTTTTTGGCATGATTATTGTTTGCTTCTTATTCAGTATATGGATTTACCAGTTTTTTAAATCCATTCACCCATTGAAGGACATCTTGCTTGGTTGCATCCAGGTTTTGGCAGTTACAAACAAAGCTGCTATAAACATCTGTGTGCAAGTTTTGTGTACATGTAAGTTTTTCAAGTCATTTGGGGGGAAAACGAGCATGATTTCTGGATTATATGATAAGCCTCTGTTTAGCTTTGTAAATGCTGCCAAACTGTCTTCCAAAGTGTCTGTAGTCATGCTCCCTATAATGATGTTTTGGGCTACAAAGGACTGCATGTACAACGATGTTCCCTAAGATTATAATGGAGCTGAAATATTCCTGTTGCTTAGTGACATCATAGTCCATGACTTCAAAGGATTTTCCAAGAATGAGGAGGTTGCAGAAATCAGCAAGGCTACGGTTGAGATGGCTGACAACTGTAACCTGGGTGTGGATGACACTGACATCAAGGAGCTCCTGGAGGGGCTTCTGAGGAATTGACTAATGAAGAGTTGTTGGAACTGGAACAGAAACTCATAGCTGAAGGAGAGTCAAGAGAAAAGTAAACTGCAGGAGAAGGAAAGGAAGAACCCCCCAAGAAAATTCAGGGTGAAGGAGTTAGCAGAAGCTTTTGCAGACCTCAGCAAGCTCCTTAAAAAGTTTGAAAACATAGACGTCAACACCGAAAGGTTCTCATTAATAAAGAGGAATGTTCATGGTACATTATCTGCTTACAAGTAAATCTGTAATGAAAAAAAAACAAACCAAGCAAACCACCATGGATGTATATCTGAAATGAGTGACACCTCTTCAAGAAGAGCCTTAGGCAGTTCCTTCAGGAGGTATTACAGAAGAAGGCATTGTTGTCAGAGGAGAAGACAGCTCCACACATGTTATCGCCCCTGAAGACCTTCAGTGGGACATGATCTCACTTATGTGTGGAATCTAATGAACAAAATAAACTGACAAAAAAGATCAGAGACATTGAAACATGTAACAGACTGATGTATTTTAGAGGGAAGAGATTAACGAATGAACTTATGGGCATGCATGCATAGCCCATGGAAAGACAGTAGTGTGGGAAAGGCCTGGGGAGGTGGGGGGAGCAGGGTGGAAGGGGTCAATGGGGGTGTGGAAAGGGGAACATCTGTAATATTTTCAACAATAAAGATAAATTTTAAAAGGTGAGAGGAGTTGGGTAATACTGTGGTCCCTCTAAACAGTCAAAGGATAAAATAAGGCCCTCGCCAGTGTGATTTAGTAGATTGAGCATTGATCCATGCACTAAGAAGTCACCATTCAATTTCTGGCCAGGGCACATGCTCAGGTTGTGGGCTTGATCCCCAGTAGGTGGCTTGCAGGAGGCAGTCAATCAGTGTTTTTCTCTTGTGTCCATGTTTCTCTCTCTGTCCCTCTTCCTTCCTTTCTCTCTAAAATCAATAAAAACATACTTTTTAAAAAAGGAAGCTGGGACATGTTTTAGGTAGGCCTGGGTAGAACTTCCATGTTTTATATGGTATGTATACTAGATGGTAAGTTACCAATAAAAACAATAGGTAGGACTCCTTTAATAGAAAATAATGAAATAAATTGAAGTCAGAGTGGAGCAGTTATGACGGGTTGTTTTGATTATTTTCACCTAGATATTCTACATTTCCTCATTTCTCTATACCGTCAATTACATCTGGTATCTGTACAAAGAACTAAGGATGAAACACTCCCAGAGTGGACACAGCACATTTTCCCTGGTAAGTTTTATTCAGAGTTAATAGTTATGAACAGTATGCAAAACAAATCACATATCCTTGGTAAACAGTGGAAGCATTCAGTAGTGTCTAGGTGATTTCATGGAAGTTAATAAAAGAAAAACCATGTTCTCACTGAGTTCCTATCCTGTTGACATGATTTCCTTGTATCTCATGCCACCAAATTGATTATAGGAAACTTCATGCATAGTACTGCCATTTATGTCTGGTTCTTCAATAAGAAATAATCCTTGGCTCTGTACAAAACCATCATTGTTGCCAAAGAAAAAGAACTTGGTGAAGAGTCAGGTAAAGTGCTCAGTTTGGTAACCTGGGATTTGAACTACAGGTATTAGAAAGAGAGAGTGTTCTGCTCTGCTGTATTTCTTCAGCATGTGTGGGTAATAGATACTGGTTTGTAGAAGGGCAGAGGAATTAATATGTGGTAATCAGAAAGCAAGATTAACCCAGGGAGAAATTAGTTGTCTTTCCTTCTTTGGTTCCCAGAGTTTTGGGCAGTATCTAGCATTATAATTATGCAAGAGAAGAGAGCACTAAGTCAGTACATCTGGACACTTTTTGTGGGTGAATGCATATTTATATATCATATATTTCACCAATTTTAAGTATACAATTTGATGTGTGTGTTTTTAAAAAATGTATATTGATTTCAGAGAGAGGAAGAGAGAGGGAGAGAGAGAGAGAGAAACATTAATGGTGAAAGTCATTGATCGGCTGCCTCCTGCACGCCCCTACTGAGGATTAAGCCCACAACCCGGGCGTGTATGTGCCCTGACCAGGAATCACATTGAGATCTCCTGGATCCTAGGTGGATGCTCAACCACTGAGCCATGCTGGCTGGGCCGATGTGTTTTTTTATGTTCGTTTGTTTGATTCTCACCCAATGACATTCTTTTCATTGCTTTTTAGAGAAAGTGGAGTGGGGGGGGGAGAAACATCAGTGTGAGAGAGACACACATCTATTGGTTGCCTCCTGCACACCCCCTGGCCAGGGCTGGGGATTGAGCCTGCAATCCCCTTGGCTGGACTCAAACCTGGGACCCTTCAGTCCATGGGCCAACACTCTAACCACTTAGCCAAACTAGCTAGGGCCAGTTCATTGGTTTTTAAAGTAAACTTACCAGATTTTATAGTCATCATCATAAGACAGCTTCAGATTATTTTCTTCACCCCAATAAAATCTTTTATGCCCACTTACTGTTAATCTCCTTCCCACCCTCTGTATTAGGCAAAGCACTAATCTACTTTCTGTCTCTAGATTTTTCTTTTCTGGACATTTTATATAGATGGAATCATAAGTATATATAATCTCTTGTGTCTGGTTTATTTCACTTAGCATAATGCTTTTGAAGTTTATCCATTGTAGTATTACAAAAGTAATTTTTTTTTATTGCTGAATAGTATTCCATTGTATAGTACACTTTGTTTCTTATTTCTGACTCAGTATATCACTAAGTGATCTTGGCAGAAGACATTTTTATGATGTTAGCAATTTTCATTTATTTAAATGTTCTTATATGTTTTAATATTATTATACATATTTTACTAAATATTCCAGTCTTCTTATTTCTGCAGTATCCATTCTGTTTTAATATTTTTATTGATTTTGAGAGAGGAAGGGAGAGGGAGAGGGAAAGAGAAAGATCAATGTTAGAGCAACACATCAACAGGCTGCCTCCTGTATGCCCCCGACTGGGGATTGACCCTGCAACCCGGGCATGCACCCTGACCAGGGAATTGAACCTTGACCACTTGCTTCCTGGGTCAGCGTTCAACCACTGAGCCGTACCCGGCTGAGCTGAAGGGGATTTTTAATTTTTTTTATTTTTTAAGGGGACCATGGAGTAAATGAGTCTGGAAAGCCTCCCAACATACCTTTCTCTAGAGCCTACAAATCAGTTCTAGGACAAGTGAAAGTGATACATTGTCATGCACATGATGAAACTTAATAAATATTTCTTGAATGAATAAATGGTACTATAGCATCATGAAAGGAGTATTTGAAGGTGAATCAGGACATCTGTCTTCTAGACTCAGTTCTGTCATTGATCTCCTGTATGACCTTGGGCACATCATCTCCCTCCCTTGGGCCTCAATTTTGTATCATAAAATTATGTTGGTCTAGGTGATCTCTAATGCCCTTTCCAGCTCTAAAATGCGATGATAGTCTTAAATCATAATCTGACTGACTGATTTAAGAAGATATTCTTTTCTTCTTAAGAGAAGAATTGTTTTTCTAGCCTTGTTCTAGATCAGGGGTCCAGCCCTTTGGCCAAAATCATTTGGTCTGGCCCTGCCAAGGCCTCACCAAAGAGAAGCAGTTGCAGCCATCACATTAGGGGTGAGTTAATTAAATGTTTTGACCAAATATAGCAGGCTAATTTTAACTTGATAATTTTGTATGGCCCTCAAATGATGTTATAAATATCCAAATAGCCCTTGGCAGAAGAAAGGTTCCCCACCCCTGTTCTAGATACACACTGTTGGAGAAGGGCAGAGGCAAAGAATGCTTTTAAAACTTTTCTCTTTTGCTGTAAGGAGAAAAAGCAATGGGGAAATCATTGGGGGAAAAGTAGCCTGAAGGAGACCCCTTATGCAGCATTCTGGACAAGATATTGCAGTCTATACAAGCAGTCAGTATAATATTTGCAGTGAGCAAATATTTTATGTACTGTCCAGTTCAGTAGCCAATAGCCATATGCAGCTATTGAGCACTTTAAATGTGGCTAGTGTGATTGAGGAACTGAATTTAAAATTTTATTTACTCTTAATTTAACTACATTGTATTGAGCAGCACAGGACTATATTCTGGTGCCCTTTTCTCATTTACCAGTAGGGACTCAACACTTACAATTACTCTTCTGTATTTTAAATTTGTATAATTTCTCAGCTCCCTACAATTTAGAAATGACCTATGTCCATGACTGTGTATCCTTTTACATGTTTGTCTACATAGTTCTAGATCCTAGAGCTGGAAGGTACTACAAAGAAACTCATTTCCCTCCTTTCAGGCAGATGAATGTCTGAAAAGTTCAACAGTCTTACAGGGGTAGTATTTCAGGTTTTTATTCTTTCATTCACTCACAAGCTAAGAGACTGACTGGAATTTGGGAGAGGTTATTCTGGCACAGTCATTCCCTAAATAAGTTGCCACAGGATACCATAAGCCAAGGATGGGAACAACATAGGGTAATATATATATTATGAAATATATATGTATTTTTAAGGCTTGTGCTCCTGGCAAGGAGAACAAGTTAATTTTGAAGTAAAGGGAGAAAGAGACATAGATTAACTGTCACATATGGTATTCTACTGCTTTATAGTCATACAGGTGCATATACTGTACTTTTCTTCATGTAACACGTGCTACAAGCACTAGTTCCAAGAAGGTAAACTCTAGCCAAAAAATTTAACCCCACTCCCTGTTATTCTGTCATTATAGCTTTATTCCAGGAGCCTTGACATGTTTTATTTTTTTCTTCTTTTATTTTTGAGTTCTCTTTTAAATACCCTAGCAAGACTTCTGCCCTAAACTTTTATTAATAAGCTTTTTATCAGAAACTCATTGACATCCAGGTAAGGACAAAAATTAAACACAGGATAGCGACCTGATGGGTCAGGATAGAATAAAAAGAGAAGGGATGTGGGTGGGAGAGTTCACCAAAGACAAATTTCATTTATTTTCCATTTTACCTAAAATCAGCACTGCCTATCCAGCTTGAAATCATTTGCTATTCTTTTTTTTTTATTCAAAGTTCTTAAGGCAAGTTAATTACCCATCTCCGGTTATTGATTAATCGCTCACTTAATGCTTATTAATCCTAACAATGCCATTCCATATTATCTCTACTTTAAAATAGAAAAAAACCACACGTGTTTTCTATTCTGTTATCTCTTTAAGGTGTTCTGTTCAAAATATTTCACCCTAAATTCCTAGTGGATAGGGACCATTCTTCTGTAGTTAGTTTTACAGTGTCTAACATAACTGGAGATTTTTAAAATGTTGTTTCTTCTAGAATCTAATGGGTCTTGAAGGGCTTATAATCCAAAGGGCTTATTTGACCCTGCCCTTATTATACTAACCCTGGCCTATTATGCTTTCTGCTGGCCTCTTATACATGGACTTTCACTCTGCCCGTAAGGAGCGAAAAGCCCACACCTCCCTGGATATAAAGAGAAAGGGATTGAACTGTTCTTAGAGATGAGACGTTGCGTGATTTTACATTTTTCTTTCTTTTTAAGAGAATTTGTCTTGGTATCCAAAGCTTAGATTAAGCCACTTCTTCCAGGCTCTCTTTGTGACTGCTGTACTTTTTAGAATATGGTAATACAGATAAAATTCTCTTGTCTCCAGTGCTAAGGAACTATTTCATTGAATTTCATAGTAAGTGTTGCTTAACTGAAGCAAGCTGGCTCTTGGGGATTTTTGTTCTGTCAAGTGGTAAATAATAACCTGGTATTTATTATAATATGATTGGCAGTATCGTAAGACATGGCTCACATTTATTCTTTTCATAGGTTATCGATAATACTTGCCAAGCTGGTCAAATAGCCATCATTTTGTCGAGGTAAGATTTTTGCTTGCTTTCCTAGCAAGGTGTGGGTTCATCATTCTGCGCCTCGGTGGGAACAAATAGGAGAACAGTGCCCTTTATTTCTATTGAATCTATCATGTCTCAGTCCTCATAGAGCCTTTCTGAGTAGGAAGCAACAAATATGTGGTCTTTGATCCCATTTTCTCAGGATAGGCAAATAGTTTGAAGTTACAGATTTGGGTTTTAGCCTCAATTCTGCCATCAACTCTATGTGGCCTTCAGATATTTCCCTTTAAATTTTTGGACTTTTAATTCCTTTATACATATAATAAAGAGTTGTAATAGGTGGCTTTCAAGGTCTCATGTACATTCATAACACTGGGTGAGACTCTTCAAATTATTAAGCCCAGAAAGGGTTTGAATCTCATTTAAGTGGTCACTACAGAGTTGGTTTTAGATTTTGTAATGTTTATTCCTGTATCTTTTCCTCTGGATAAATAATTGGTTATTTAAGGTGTACTTTGGGAAAGCTCCTAGGGAGGGGCTTATGAGAATGAAGTTATTTCTGGTCACCATGGAAAGTGAAACAGACTGAGCAAGCACAGAACTCCTTGTTAAAATTTTCCTTCCATTTTGACCCACTTGGATTTTTAGCTGACCACACAAGTCCCAGAGATTCTCTGTGAAACTCTGTTAGGGTTCATTACCCTAAGTATAAAGTTCATTCCTCACTTTCCCTCCCCAGTAATTGAAAAAGAAGGCATGCTTAAGGTCTTTGAGGTCTTTTTCTTAGAGAAATTAAATGTGTGTGTATTAGTGGAGGGGGGCAGGGATGCTGGAGATAGGAGAAGAACAGGAGAATATTTTGCAAATGGAAAGGGCATGAAACAGTCTGAATATTAGGGTGATAAGGTTTTTTTCCCTCCTAGCCTGATACCTCTACTATTGATAACACCTGTATTCTGTCTGGGCAATGCCAGTGAATGTTTCTACAACTTCAGCCAGAGCCATAGGTGAGTAAGGACCAAATCTATCATTTTTATGGTAGCCTACACCTATTCTTTTCTGCAAATGGAGATGGAAGAAGACTTTCTACATACATTCTGGCCAAGGTGCTTGTAGTTGAAATGGGCTGTGGAGTAATGTGTAGGCAAGTCTGAAAATACATAAGTAGAAATATAACACAAAGTGACTAGAAGATAATGTGTCTGTGAGAAGGAACAAAGTGTTACGAACAAGGATTAGCGTAGTGATAAGTAAAATTTTAGACTCATGAACTTTTGTTGCACTGATAAGTATCTCTAGTTTTATATCTAGCAGTACTCTTGTCCATTTTCTTCCTAGGTGTATCCTGATGTACTCATCACCATCAGCCATGGCTGAACTGCCTTCTGCCAACACATCAGTCTGTAGCACACTTTATTTTTATAGGCTCACCATTTTCCTGGCCAGCTTTGTACTCAGCCTCTTCACCATTGTGGTATGATGTCACCTTACCTGCCTTTTTGGAAAGAAGCAAAGGGAGGATGGGGTAACACTCCCAAGGCCTGGGAAAGATGAGGTAGAAAGTCACTTTCCATAGTCCTAGACTTTAAGTCTAGGACTTTGTTAAGGAGATATTGACAATTTACTTACTACCTCAGTCTTTTGGACTTCCCAAGATCAAATGATGAGTGGGAAAAAGAAGCTGTATTCATTCTGTGGGAATTAGCTTCATTCTAGAACTAATACATGTTCTTGTGGATCCTCATGGAGTATCAGAGCAGAAAACTAATATGTGTGAAGTATATCCTTTATATAGAATGATATTCTGGAACATAGGACATGAGCTTTAATTTAATTTTCCAAATGATGAGTTTTCTCAATTCTTTATTGGCTATAAATTTGTGTTTATGGTATGTCTAACTGGGGTTAAGATGCTAAGTGGCTCAGGAAGGTATTAAATTCTCATCTGACATCATCAAAGTGATGAACAATTAAAATAATCAGCTATCAGACAATATGTTATTTATATATAACTGCCCAGTACAAAATCAGTAAGCAAGCAGTATGCCTTCTAATTTCCCATATCTATATTTCAGTATCATTTTCTCCTCTCTTCATATGTTAGTTCAGGGATTACAAACTACTACCTGCAGACCAAATTTATCCCACAAATATGTTTTGTTTCCCAGTACAGCTAGTACATGTGAACCAGATGTAATTGTGGAGACTTTCCTTTGACAATTCAGATATAAATTATGGAGATAGCTTAGCTCAAAATCAGCAACTTTATAAAGATTGCACAGTGACTAATTTATATTAAAATGGATTTAATGGTTTATATTTAGAGTGGATTGACAAGAGACAGGTAGCCTGGCACCCTGGGGATTCCTGTTTGCGTCTTCAGAATAACCCAGGCTTCAGTGGGCATTCAGAATTAGCATTCTGATTCGTTTTTAATCAACAGATGATGAACTGATTCTACTAGCCATAAATATTCTCAAATAAGTTCAAGCCTTCTTTTGACTCCTATGTCTGTGGGAAAAGGAAACTAGATGGCTAAACTTAAGTAGTTGGTTGTTAGAGTATGGATCTGGATTATTAGGGAAAAGTTTCAAATTTGGTCAGATTTTTTTCACCAAGATTATTACCTAATTCACTCCCCACAAAAAGCACATTGGACTTCTGAACTGATTTATATTTCTTTCATTAGCTAAACCGTATAAAGACAGTCCCCAAAGGAAGGGAAGAGCAATCTATTTTCCATCTAAGGGCAAGAAAACACTTTTTTTTTCCTCTTAGAGTTGAAAATTTAAGCTCAGTTACAGTGCTAAAGTATTTATTTTAAGGATATTAAGCATAGAACACTTTCTAACTCAATCTCTAATAAAGTTTTTAAAATCTAACCAGACCAGGTTAGATTTTTATATCTAATCTCACCAGGTTAGATTTTAATTTTAACTTCTTATGCATATTTTGATCAGCCTTCGTGAGAAAAAAAATCCTGAGGGTTGATGTTAAGGTTCATGTTTTGAACATGGTAACCACAAGTTTGGCTAATATCTGTCCATTTCCCTAGCCAAGCAAAATTCATTCTGAAGACAATTTTCTGTAAAGACAGAGGAATAGTCCTTTCCTGCTGTTAGATCCTAAGTGAATGAACCCTCTAAAATTTAGGAGGATAGACCTGGGAAGTTACTAAGCCTTGGACAAACTACTCACTGCTATACCCATGTCTAGGTCTTACTCATCCAAGCCCAGACACTGTATAAGAAGTTTGTGAAATCAACTGGCTTTCTGGGAAGTGAACAGTGGGCAGTGATTCATATTGTGGAGCAGCGAGTGCGCATCTACCCAGTGGCCTTCTTTTGCTGCTGGGGCCCAGGTGGGTATCTTAATGGAAAGAGCTGGGCAATGAAGAGGGCACTATTGGGTTCTGATCAAGCAGAGTTGTCTCACCAAGAAGGATGACAGCAAATTCCTGTCCATCTTTTAAAATTCAAGTTGTTCCCACTCGTATTTCCCAGTTTTCCTCAACCTCCTTAACAACTTCTTATGTTTTGGAAGTTAAGATCATTAGACATGAGATGCAACCTGCTATGAGAGGAAATGTCCTAACAGATATTAAGACCTGTCTTTCCTGCTACATAAAGTTGTAGTGAAGATCAGATTGGGTAATGTTTATGAAAGAGCTTGGTAAACTCAAAAATGTTAAAAGTGTAACTTACTATCTTTCTATAGTATGTCTTGCCACCATTGCTCCACTAATAATCTGCAAAGTTTAATCAGTAAGGAGTAAAAATTGGAGACCCAAAGCCCAGTGGTTTATATAACTGCTTAATCTCACTGCTGGTCTTCATTATGCCTGTAGCTTCCATTTTAACAATGCTTAGGCATGTATACTGAAGAATTTTATGCTCAGGCAGCCAGGGATGACCACAGGATTTATATTTTGTGTTTTCACAGCTGTCATTTTGGTGATCATAAAGCTGATCAAACCACAGGACACCAAGCTTCATATGGCCCTCTATGTTCTTCAGGTAACACCTTCAACATCTAGCATCTCTGTTCTCACACCCTCCTGTCCTATTCTCTTATACTTCCATTACTCTGTAAGCACAACTTTTTCTCCCTCAGGGTATTTATTTCTGCATAGCAAAAGATAAAATATATTATTTATATTTAGTTATGAATAATGTGAAATTTTCCTCACAGATGTGGTAGACACTTTTGTGAAAATGGTCCCATGCATTTCAGAGCATATGTATGTCTGGTCAACTTCATTTTATTGATGTGTTTTTAAGGGATGAGTAAAAAAAACAGGATCTACCATCAAATGTTCTTATGAAGCACTAATAGTGACATGATTCTCTCCCATCCAGAGTGAATTGAATGGGATAAATTAGCTATTCTAGGTGAGTGGGAGGGAGTAGTAATGAAATGGAATTATTCTCTTCTCCTCCATCAAATTTAAGAAGGCTTTTGGGGCTGACTATGCTAATAGGACAGTTTTCTCAAACCTAACCTGGAAATGGGCCAATAAGGAGGGGCTTGAAACCACTTTATTGTCCTGATAGAAACACTGAGAAATATGACCAACTCTCTCAATCATCCATGACAAGGTACAGTGTGAAGGGTGAGTTCAGGAGAGCTAGAAAGATATTAAAAACTGACACCAGATCTTGATGTATGAGATAGAGGAAATATAATAGTGCTTTATAAATAAGGGGAATGGGAACTGTTCCCTGGATCTTTGAAAACCTGAAGGATGGGCTCCATCACCCCTTCATCTCCTCCAGGCTCTAACAACATCATCCCAGGGCCTGCTCAACTCCGGGTTGTATGGATGGACACAGTACAAGTTCTTTCAACTAAAGCAAGAGACTCGACGTGATGCAGACACCCAGACACCATTATTATGCTCACAGAAGAGATTCTATAGCAGGGGCCTAGATCCATTGGAGTCTACCTTTGCTTTTGCTTCCAGCACCTCCACTACTCTTTGAAACTATAATACCGGAATACAGGAACGAGTGATTCCACACTAAGAGATTGGGGAAAGTGCTGGGGAACATCTTTAGTCTTTTGTAACCATGCCTTAAACTATGGAAATGAAAGGAAATATAGTGTCGTGGTTAGTAGCCATTCTAGGTGAATTGGGCAGGATCTTTTCATTATTTTCAGATTCACTGGTGATTTTCATTATTTTTAGATTCACTGGTGATTTGTTCAAGGAGATGAAGCCACTTTCCATCTAAGAGATGGTCTCATTACCTCAATGAATATTAGATTTGTCTAAGTCTTTTCTAGAAAAAAAATAATTCCAGTTTATTATTTATACATGCCATTTCCAGGCTTTCTACTCTATGGTTGCAGGTGAAGTAGGGTGGCATGCAACAGTTTGCTCAGATCTCGTCATTGCTATTACTATCTCTGAGGTTGGACAAAGAAAGTTCTGGGTTTCTGTTCTTTGAAGAGGTTTGGAAACTCAGAATAAGCAAGGACAACAACTATCAAAAAAGTGACAGTGGGATCCTCAGATATACCACATTCTAGTCTCATGGCATTTGCAGGCCACATGGTCATGCTTCATTCTCAAGATGCGGCCAAGCTCATGAGCCATGAGAACTGCATAATGCAGCATATCTTCATGAGAGAAAGATTCAAGACTGATTGCATTCTAAGCAGTGCAGATATCACTGAGAAATGCATAGCCCTGGTACTTCCCAAGACTTTGGCCATTAAGCATATGAGCAACATCATGTTTCATCCTTCTCAAAAGATGCCAGTCTCTCCAGGAGTCAAAATTTAGAAGTATTTCCTGCTTAGTCAGGAAGATTTTCAGTAGGTTTCTCTCTGTCCATATGTGTAATCTGATAAATACTGCTTTCACATTTAACTCCTTCATGTGCCTATTGACCAGGGCATGGGAATCTGTTATAATCTGTGTTGTCTTAGTGACACTGTTATTTGGAATCGCTTATTGTCAACGACAATAACTATTTCTACATACTTGAGAAGTGTCCACATATAGGGCATAGTAACTAAGGAGGGTTCTGTTCTGCTCTGAAGTTGTGAAGTGGTTAAGAGCTCATCATTTTTATCTCCCCTGACTGCGTAAGACTCACCTGATTTTAAAGATAGGCTATAAATCACATGTTCAAATACGCTTGATGTGAAAGAGTGCCATGTAAAGTCAGGATTCTCATTAACCCTGAGCAAATGCTGATAGTCACAAGAGAATCCAGGTCACCCTCTGAATACCCAGTCATCCTGAATTAAGGCATATCCAGCCCAGGTTCCCGTTTTGAAGTGTGTATATAGGGAAGTTCTTGACAAATAATCCTTTTTTGCTTCAAATTAATAATATGCCATTTTCCTTGTATGAGCAGGTTATAGGCCACATTTTCTGCTTTTTCTTTCAGTTCTCTGAGTATCATTAGGTTCCTAGGGGTGACTATCTCCTAATAAAGGCGCATCCCTTGAAGCATAGTGACTCCCAGCAGTAAGATGACATGTAGCTTAGTATGGGAAGGGCCCATTCTCAAGCATCTCACCTGGGGAGTTATGGAAGAAAAATCACTTAAAATCTTATCCATGACCATTTGATTTCATAGAAGAAAGGTCAGGGAGGGAGGCAAAGTAACTAACTGGGATTGTCATTGTCATGGCCCAAGTGAAATAGCTAGTGATCCCAGACCTCTGTCTCTCATTTGCCTTCCCTGGGACCCAGATCACTCTATGACACAGTCGTTTAGCCAAACGTCAAAGCTGTGCTGCATGCCAGAAGGACAGTTGCTCCCACCTGAGTATTATATGATGACACCTGCCTTTTAGCTGCCTCTCTTCCTATTCCTGTTGTGCTCTCTTTCTTTAGGAATGTCCTTACTTTGCTATCTCCCTCTAAAAACAAAAGTTTTAGTGTTCCTTAGCTGTGCTCCCCTGCTATCTTTATAGAGGGGGTATACCAAGGAAAGGAAACTTTCAGAGGTCCAGCCAGTACTCTGAACCAGAATTGAGCCCCGAGAAAAGAAAAAAATGCATAACTACCTTCCCTCAGTCCCTGTTCCCATGGAACAGCCTTCTCTGTCATCTTTCATTGTTTTGAGTCATTGAAGCTAACGGTTCCAGAGCAGAGGTTTGTGGATCTCTGGGTAGGTCACATGCCTCTGCTGTCCAATGCCTTTTGCACCATTTCCTACTCTGTACCATACAACCCATTTCAAACCTCCAGTCCTTTTCCTTGTTCCCCCATTGTTCAAAGTATGTTTATTTATTTGTTCAGTCCTGGAATACATATAAATTATTTTTATAATAACTAACCCTGCCTCTGTAAAAAGCAAATATATGAACTAGAGAACAATGTTTGTGTTCAGTTATTTTTGTCTTTAGTCTTGCAGTATGAGATCAAAATAATGTTCTTCAAAATAATTTAAGTTAGTATTTTTCCATCTAGACCAGTATATTCAGTGTGGTTATATTACTCATTTTTTTTATAGTTAGACCCTATATTACTACTTGTATTTCCTTTTGGCTTGTAAAATGTTACCATGATTCTAAAAGTCAGTTCTATACCAAAAAAATGTACTCCAAGTACACGTCCTTGAGCCTTTAACCTGTCCCCGTGTCCTCATTCTTGCCGTTCAGATTGTACTCGCCAATCTCAATAGTAGTTGGTTTTTCTGTATTTCTTACTGCAAATTAGTAGATACATGTATATTTCTTTTATCCCTTCTTATGTAAATATAGCATGACATTTTACACTTTCCTTTTTAAACTTAAATATACATCTTATAAATCACTCCATATAAGTTTATAAAGATCTGTCTTATTCTTTTTTACAGCTGCATAGTACTCCATTTTGTGGATTTACCTAAATTTATTCGGTCAGTCTCCTGTGTATGTGCTTTTAGTTGTTTACATTATTTTGAAATTACACACATGCATCAACAAATAATCTTGCATATATGTATTTTTTGGAGGCAAATTTCTAGAAATGGGAAGGCATGCTAACTGCATATGTAGCTTTGTTTGATATTACCAAATTCCCCTTCGGAAGGGTTTGGCCAGTTTGCATTCCGACTAGCAATGTATTGGAGTGCCTGTTCCTCCACAGTCTAAGCCACAGGATATGTTGCCATGCCACACATTTTAATTTTCACCAAACTGGTAGGTGAAAATGGCATCTCAGTGTTGCATAATTTGTATTTTTCTAATTCTGAATAAATTTGAACATATTTTAATATGTTTAAGGGCCATTTTTATATTTTTACGTAATTGTCTGTTTATATCTTTTCTTTTTTTAATCAAAGTTTTGTTCTTTTTTTCTCCTCAATTCCCCCTCCCATCTTCATTGAGGTAGAATTCACAAATAAAATATATATTTAAAGTGTACAACCTGATAATTTGATATATGTGTATATTGTGAAATATTTATTGTGAATATAAATTTTCTAAAAGGCAAGGAACTAGAATAGTTAAAATAATTTTGGAAAAGAATAACATGGAAGGAACCACTCTATTCAGTTTCAAGGCTGTAGTATTGGTTATGGGGTAGACACATAGGTCAATGAAACAGAATAGAGAACGCAGAAACAATGCACACGTGTATGGCCAACAAATTTTTGACAAAAGGGCAAAAAAAATTGCATGGAGAAAGGACAGTCTTTTCACTGAATGGTGCTGGAAAATGGGGGATACATAGTTTAACAAAAATGAACCTCAACCTAAACCTTACACTTTATACAAAAATCACCTCAAAATAGTTAATAAATTTAACTGTAAAATATAAAACTATAAAACTTTTTAGAAGAAAGCATAGAACATCTTCAGAAGCTAAGGCTTGGTAAAGAATTCTTAAACATGACACCAAAAACATGATCCATAAAAGAAAATATCCATAAATTGGATTGAATCAAAAGTAAAACTCTTGCTTTCTGAATGACTTTGTTAAAAGGATGAAAAGACAAACTATAGACAGGGAGAAAATATTTGCAAGCCACTTATCTGATAAAGAAACTTATACCTAGAATATATTAAGAACTGTCACTACTCAACATTATCAAAGCAAACAATCCAATTAGAAAATGAGCAAAAGACATGAAGAGACATTTCACTGCAGAGGATATGTGAATGGCAGATAAGCACATGAAAAGATGTTCTGTTTATAACACTGTCAAAAAACGTGTATGGGAGATGGCAGCAGAACATTCTTCTCTTATGTGTGATTTTTCTTGGGCACATTGGCTGGTAACTCCAGGCCCACACGCTTCTCTGGATGGCCCTTACATATTGGTATCCTAAAATGATGCCAGTTGAAGACTAGGTATCCCAAAAGTCTCCCCTGTGTTAGAAAATGACCTACCTGTGTCCAGTGCCCACTTCTATTTGTTCATCCTTATATGCCCAGATTCAAGAGTAGATGAAATACAATTATTTTATTTTTTAAAATATATATCTTTATTGATTTCAGAGAGAGGAAGGGCGAGAGAGAGAAATATCAATGATGAGAGTCATTGATCAGCTGTCTACTGCACGCCCCCTACTGGGGATTGAGCCTGCAACTCAGGAGTATGCCCTCACTGGGAATCTAACCCGCGATCTGGGATCATAGGTTGACGCTCAACGTCGGCCAGGCTAGAATTACTTACTGAATGAATAAATCACTCCCAGGCAAGGATCTATCTCATAGGTAAAGTCGAGGTCAAAGTGTTTCACTGCTTTTCTCCCCAGCAGACTCTGGAAGTAGAAAGATTTTCCATAATAGTACATAAGGTGCATATTTATGGGTAGAGTTATGGGTGATTCTTCTTCCCATTGCAGAGTAATCACCTGGAGCCATGATACGTATATAATAGGAGGGGCGTGTAATAAAGGAGCTCAGAAAAGTTGGCAGCTTTATGTCTAAAAGCAGGGTGAAAAATTATTTTTAAAGTTCAGCACTTTCATTGAAAATTGCTTTTTTTTTTAAGAAAGCACTTCAGTCCTGGCCAGGTGGCTTGGTTAGTTAGAGCGCCGTCCTGTGCACCAAAAGGTTGTGGGTTTGTTTCCCAGTCAGCATATACCTAGGTTGTGGGTTCTATCCCCGGCCAGGATATGTATGGGAGGCAACTGATCAATGTTTTTCTCTCACATTGATGTTTCTCTCTCTACCTTCCTCTCTCTCTAAAATCAGTAAAAACATATTATCGGGTAAGGATTAAGGAAAAACAAAATACTTCAGTGAGACTTTTGGTCCACACCCCACACAAAATGACAAAATTCTACTCAAGAATGAAGTTTGAACTCACAACTATCAGGAACAAGACAAGGACGTCTGCTGTTACCATTTTTATTCAACACAGTATTGGAAGTCCTAGCCAGAGCATTTAGGCAAGAAAAAGAAATAAAAGGCACCCCAATTGGGAAGGAAGAAGTAAAACTGTCTCTACTTCAGATGATGTGATATTATATACAGAAAATCCTAAAGACTCCAGCAAAAAAACTGCAACAAAAGCAAAAATAAATAAGTGGAACTATGTCAAACTAAAAAGCTTCTGTACAGCAAAGGAAACCATCAACATAATGAAAAGGCAACCTACTGAATATGAGAAAATATTTTTCAATCATATATCTGATAAGGGGTTAATATCCTATATATAATATATATATATATACATTTTCCTATACATATACACCTTTTCACTTAAAGGAAGCACTTTGTAGCTTCCCTTTAGTGTATGTGAATTACCAACATCACTACTCTTACGTCTTGGGGCCATTATCAAGTAAAATAAGGGTTACTCAAACACAAGCACTAAGATACTGCAACAGTCATTCTGATAAGCAAGATGGCTACTAAGTGATTAACTGCTCAGTAAGTGTATACAGACAGCATGCATACACTGGAAAAAGGAATGGTTCCCTTCTTGGGAGGGACAGAGAGGGACAGTGTAAGATTTCATCATGCTACTCAGAACTGTGCACAATTTAAAACTTATGAACTGTTTATTTCAGGAATTTTCCATTTAATATTTTCAGTCCGAAGTTGACCATGGGTAACTGAAACAACAGAAAGCAAAACCGTGGATAAAGAGTACTACTGTATGTGCATTCACAAATATAAAATCTGTGAATAATGAAGACCAATCAAATCCTTTACTCTGTAATTCTCCAGTGGTGTCTGTATTCTGAATGCCATCAATACCAATTCCATTCTGTTGTCTAAAGAATAAACACTACTTTAGCAAACTCTCCTGCAAGTCACAATACAGCATGCTACAGAAGGGTACTTATACACACAGGAGGAGCAGAGAATGTTCAACCATTCCTTCAGTAATTACGGAGTACTCTGCCTCCTCCCACTTTGTTGGAGGTGTCCAACCTGAGCTTTCAAAAACTGACTACATACAGGAAGGATTTGCGCAAATGAGTAACTATATCGACAACGAAGGGTCAAGTTTTATCAGAGGAAGAAGTTGACAAGTATGAAAAGGCAGAAGGCTAGAATAAACACTGTGTATTGGGTTGGAATTACAGTAATTGGTGTATGTTTTTAATATATATAGATAAGTAGATAAAGAGATATATGTGTGTGTATATGTGTATTTCCTACCCCTGTCCTGATAGGGCCTGGAAGCAATGAGAGCCTTTTAGCAATGACCACATGTAGCATCCAGACTTGGTTTCTAAAAAGCAATAATCAGTAAAAGGAATCAGTCTTCTCTGAAGAAAAGTTGACTCCTGAAATGGATCAATGCTCCTGAAAGCCATATTCACAAAAAATGTCATTATTTGATATTTGATCTGGCCAGTAGTTCCTTNTATATATAATATATATATATATATATATATATATATATATATATATATATATATGCTTTGTCTTCATTGTGGACATGATTATATCCATATGAGGTTATGATTATGTGATCTGGGTTTTCAGTAAATTACTATTTTAAAAAATTTTCTCTTTCACTGGGCCCCAGAGAATAGATTCTAATTTTATGCTATGAGGATATTCCAAAAAGTATTTCTACAGAAACAACAAAGGATGTCAGATCAGTTCAAAGGAGAGGAATGGCCTACCCAAGTCCCCCAACAGAGCATGTCACATCTCTGGGCTCCAGGAACCTTAATATTGGCAACATCTCAATGTGTTCTTTCTACGCTATAATTTCCCCGAAATCTGGGTAAAAATCTAGAGCCTGCTTGGCTCTGCTTTGAGGAACTAAGGGAAGGGACTGAATGGGTCTCTGATGGCTTGAGGCAGCACAGAAAGGACAATAACCACCCAGGGAAGGCAGGTAAAGGATAGCAATAAATCACCATCAGAGTTCTTTTGGGAGCAGCTAACTGGGTCACAAATGACTACCAACAGATTATTACAATGTGTCAGCATTCTTCAGAATCCCCCAAATATAATGGGGGAGAAGAATCGGGTGAAATGATATACTTCCTAGAGATAGTCACACACAATGCAGAATGAACTATTTTCCCTTGAGCTTTATAGAAAATGTTGACCGTTGAACATGGAGATTTAACATGCTGAGTTATATCTGTTCACTCCGGCCCACATTGAAACTGGCCCCTCCCTTACCATAGTCTGTCATTCACTGGAGCTTGAGGTTTTATAAAGTTTTTACTACTTACTTGACTGTTTATAAATATTTAGCATTATTGTACCTGAGCAAGATTTTAGTTGTGTTAAGTAGTGCCAAGAAGCATATTGCCCAAGAAATGAATCTAGCCCTATATTTTAAGGCCAGCTCTGGTTAAATCATTTACTTGGTAAACATTTATTAAGCATCTACAATGTGCTGGGCCCACAGTTCTGATTAAGATGGCAGCCCGCCACTCCAGGATGCCAGCATGTAATAGGAGAAAGTGCATTTTTACCAATAGTGACTACATAGGTTGAGGATTCATAATGGTGAATTAAGGACACATTATCTTTCTCATCACTTTTTACTGAAGGAAAAGGCCCATAAGGTAGTGGAGAATGCAGATTGAGTCATGCCTTGGGAGACATGTCAGTTCTACAACTTACTGGAATTCTCTTTGGTCTGTTTCATCATGTACACGATGGTGGTTTCATATTTGGGAGAATTGAATTAAGACAATGAATGTAAAGTCTGTAACACAGTTCCTGGCATATAATGGATAATGACAATTTTATACTTGCTTTGTGCTCTCGACACAGAGAAGTATCTACAACTTCCGAAGCTCTGTTACCCATAATTGGAGAGGTTCCTTTTGATATTAGTCAACA